ACATGTGAGCGCGCTTTGCGACGTGACGGAACACACACACATGCTTTCTGCGGTCGCAACTAACGACTTGGATTCTCTTCCTTATCTATTGCACTTTGGCGCATTACAAAAAAACGCATTTTTTCTTGACATTATAGCTTGATGCTCACAAACCAGCAAAAACCAGTGGGACAAACATTGATTTGGATATGTATGGGATTGATCGCATGTAATACATGAGCATACTTAACTCGCTCCAACTTCTTATGCATGCCAAACATTATCTGCACATGCTGGCGTGGTGTGCGCACACAGCTCTACACAGGCTTTTACTTTTTTTCAACTTACATTCTGCACATACAGATGATGGTTTGCACTTGCATAAGACAATGGATGACGCATTTGATCGGATCAACTTTGTTGAGGTGCAAATGTGTTGCGCAGCCAATTCTCCAACTATGGGAAGCCACATCCTTTTCCTGGAAAACTCCTTTCATGATGGTGGACACACAAAGATCATCTTTCTCCAATTTACACAACAAGTCTTTCCATTTGCAAACACAGAAATGCGGCGGAAACGAAATTGCTTTGAGCTGCTCGCACACACACGCGATTCTAACAACTGAGTAGGAGTTGACTTTCGTCGAACACTCTTGAAAGTTTAGTACTAAATCGCTACCGTCATATCTCATACGAGTGAGATCCTTCTCCCCTGTCTGCTTGATGTCGAGTTTTTTAACTTCGCTTTTCCGCAACGCGCCGCACCAAGCCAGCAAAAGCACAACCGCTTGACGATCGGAAGTCGACCCCTTTTCCCAGTGGAACTTCACATGACAAATTGTCAGAGGGGACTTCTGCATTTTTCGGCCAAGGTGGCCCCTGCGCGTCAACGCGGCTAACTCTTTACGAGTGCTTTCTTGCTCCTCATCGGTCACGCGGCAACGGGAATCCTGCATCACGTCGTAGACTGCAGTCTTTGTACTTGCGTAACCGGCCGCAATACTAACGCCTACATAGGCTCTGACTGAGTCGCGCTCCCACAACATGTGGGGCAGATGCTGTGCTATTTTCAGATAACGCCGGACTCTCGAGTCCCGGTTTTCTTCTGCTTGCTTACACGACGACAAGGCGTTGCACTCGCTCATGGCCGGGGATAGCTGCAGCGGATCTTGCGCGATATCCATCGCATGCGCCATCTTCCCGCGTGCTGCGGACACTTCCGCTTTACTCCGTGCTTGAAACACCTCGCCCACACTCGCTTGTGCGTTCCGCATGCGCGACAGGAAAAGCTCCTGCGGCATGTCGGGCTGCAGCTTCGACCTACTGAGCGGATCGTCTTTGCGTTGCGCGAAAATCTCCGTTTTCCCGTTAGCCGTACGCTGTACTATCTTCAGCTTCCCCATGTCTGCAGCGAGCTTCAGCAGCTGCGCCTGCGACGGACAGTTGATTACTCCTAACTTGTCACCGGCGGTGGGCTTTACCGCAAACATGTCGCGCGTGAACATTCTGGACGGGAGCACGGTGCTCTTCTTCAGAAAATCTACGGGTAGACTTTTACCGGACGCGAGAAACGCTCGCGCTGCGTCTTCTGCTTTCTTCTCCCCGAAAGCTTCAATCGTCGCATCGTACGTGCTGAAATTCAGCTTGGCTTGCTGATCCAACTCATCTTGCAGCGACTGCCAGAACTCCTCTTCGCAGTCCTCCATGGCGTGGGCGGGTGGGAAAGAAAACGACGATACGATCGTCGAGATCGAGTCCTGCTACCCTGAGCGCGTTACAGCGCTCTACGCATGTTTGCTACTACAGCACGAGAACAGTGAGGCTATACGAGTTTGAGGCGCGCTAGCTATAAAGCCAAGATCTCGCACCTCGCCTATGTATTTTATATCTGGGCAGCGCTCTCAGTTTCGTCACACGTGGATACTATGCACACGACCTTCTGGCCCCAAGTGCGATCGCGACGCGCAGACACTCACACGGCGTGCGCGGTAGGCACAACTACACGCGTCTCTCAAGTCGCTCTTTGACATGAAAAGGTGGTGGGCGGCCCTTTTGCCACCAAAGCTCTCCGCACTCAAGGAGAGGGCGCCGACCGAGGCGCATACGAACAGCCGCCACCACCGCTCGACGAAGAGCGCAAGGGGAGCGTGGTTGACCTCGCAATCGCACTGACAAACGAACTTGGCACAATTATGCTGCGGGCGTCTAAGAGTCTGCACTGTGACTCTTTTGCCGGTGTGACCTACTGGTCCAGCTATACGCTACAGGCGTGAAGCACTGCTGCTCGACTGGGTCGATCAACAGCTCTCCACCGCACTTGCTGCTGTCGCGACTAGGTCGCAACAGCAACAAGTCAACCATCCGGGAGCGCACCACTAAGCGGGGTGATCTCTGCCTAGACAGAGAACGACCGACCCGCCGAGCAGCAGCGCCGACGCCGTGGTCCGCAGCTACATCCGCTTTGCCCATCCTACTGGGCCTGCCTCTTACACGGGCGCGGAACTGTCTTGACGCGGTACGTGTGCACTTTGCACTGCAACAACGTATGCACAAAGAGCGCTACTGGCGCTGACTGGTGACTTTCGCACCTACTACTACTGACACACACCTGCACACATGTGCTCTACCCTCCTTGGACAACACACGCTTCCTACAAGAAGCTAACTACGCTTGGCAACAAGCCAGCGGCGACCTGCGCCGACGAAGGAGGCGTAGGATCTGCAGTGGGGACAGACGACCAGACTGCCAGACAAGAAAACGACGATACGATCGTCGCGATCGAGTCCTGCTACCCTGAGCGCGTTACAGCGCTCTACGCATGTTTGCTACTACAGCACGAGAACAGTGAGGCTATACGAGTTTGAGGCGCGCTAGCTATAAAGCCAAGATCTCGCACCTCGCCTATGTACTCGTCGTGGTCTCCCGACTGCACTGGGCTGGAGCCTGCTCGTCGTGATCTCCCGATCGACTGGACTGGGCTCATAACTTTGCGAACGATCTAGAACATCCGGCGACCAGAATCGCGAAGCCGCATGGTATTCGCTTCAGTTCTTTCATTTTATTCCAAAACAAAAAGAGCTCTCCCGAGCTCACCACTATGGTGGGAAAGTTCCAAACGAGGCCCATTCATCATCATCATCAGAGTAGGTCCCTCCTCTTTTCTTTCTCTTCTTTCTCTTTCTTTCTCTTGATTCTCATCAACGAATTGCATCGCGTACGATTCCCACGATCCCACCACGAAGCCCCTGCGCTTATTTCACGAACTACCGAATTCGCTCAGACAAACAACGAAAGGCGGCTATTGGAAACCTAAACAGCTGGGGTAGTCTACGATTTACAATAGTGGCCCGCAAAGCAGCTTGACAGCTGCTGCCACGGACCCACTGATGCCAAATCTTACTAGGTAGCTACGCCACCCTGTAAAATCTTGCCAGTTGGCGGCTTCATTGCACAAAATATCAGTAGCCTATGGCTATAAAACGTAAAACCTTGAAAGTTGGTGGCGTTGCCTGCCATATATTGGCAGGAGTCGCGTCTCACTGACCATATTTTGGCGCTCTCTGCGTCCCGATCACCATATTTTGGTGGTCGATGCCTCCGGATGGCCATATGTTGGTAATCAATGTGTCCGGATGACCAACTTTGAGCGGTATGCGCGTCCGGATGACCAGATTTTGACGATCTGCGCGTCATGATGGCCACATTTTGGCCGTCCGCGCGTCCAGGTGACCGGATTTTGGCGGCCCGTGCACCGAGATAGTGATATTTTAACGGTCCATGCGTTCGGATGGTCATATTTTGGCGGTCCAGGCGTCCAGACAGGCATATTTTCGCGGTCCAGGCGTCGAGACAGGGATATTTTGGCGGTCGGCGCGTCCACATGGGCATATTTTGGCGGTCCGCGCGCCCGGATGGCCCTATATTGGCGGTCCGCGCGTCCGGATGGCCCTATATTTGCGGTCAGCGCGTCCGGATGGCCCTATATTGCCGGTCGGCGCGTCCGGGTGGCCATCTTCTGGCGGTCCGCGCGTCCGGGTCACCATCTTCTGGCGGTCCGCGCGTCCGGGTGGCCATCTTTTGGCGGCCCCTGCCCGGTCTCCGGCCCCCGCCCTGTCTCCGGCGCTCCGCAAGTCCCTCGACCAGCTGATCGTTCCCGACTGCGGGGTGGCGCCCATCGAAAACTTCGCCCGCGAGTGGCTGGAGCGGTTCACGGTCGGGTTGCGGGGCCACACGGAGTCGGATATCAAGCGGTTGTCGAAGGGCTTGTCGAACTGCAAGGAGGACTACGAGACCGCGAATCTGGACTTGATGAGCCCGGGGCTGATCTTCACCAGCAGCGAGATGCCCTGGACGCTCACGCTCGCGGAACAGAAGCTGGTGGTGGACCGGATCTTGGACTACCGCGCGTCCAGCAGTTTGCCCCCCCAAGCCGCGCTGTTTCTCTGCGAGAAGCTGCACCGGGAGTTCGGGCTCACCGCCGACGATTCCGCGGCAGAGAACCCGCTGCTGGGCACGGCATTGCTGCAAACGCCTTTCGCGCTGGAAGTGGTGGCGTGCGGCAACCACTTGTACGACCACAACTACGACGTGACCTTCGCGCTGGAACACATCTTCCGCGACAAGCACAGCACTTCTACGACACGCTGGGGGAGAAAACGCGGTGGCCGTTCGCGATGGTGATGGGCGCGGTGCAGGACTGGCGGCCGACCAACAGCTTGGTCGCGCAGGGCGTGCTGGACCACGACAAGTGCCAGACTGTGTTGAACAAGTTGGACATGGTACCCTTCAACCCGCCGGACGTGGCGGGGTGGAACCTGATGACCACCTGGACCACCGACCGCATCGCCACCGCGCACTACCACATGAGCGATCTGCTGCTGGAACTGCTGGAGCCGGGGTGGCAGATGACCTACACGGTGGACTTCGAGACGCAGGAAGTGTTTGAGCAGAAGTATGAGTGGCTGCTGTACCGAATCGGGGACGGCTCAAAACCCAGCAACAAGAAAACGTTGGCTTTTGCGGGCGAAACCGATCAGGGGGAGAAATACTACAGCCTGGCCAAGTACCTCTGCGGCAACAATTTTGTCGAGGAGGTGGGGCGTCAGGGGAAAGAGGAAATGTCTTCCACCTACCTGTTTTCGGACCGGACGGACGTGAAGACAAAGTGGAGAAGGTACAAAGTATTCCGCGAACGGCAAAAGGAAGCCATGAAAAACGTGTGCCAGTTCGTGGCATGACGGGGGTGGAAAGAGTTTTACATGTATGAAAATAATAAAACTGGTTTCAAAGCTTTTGGTATAAAAAAACTCGCTGTTGTAAAAACCACACAGATCATTTTCGATCGCTAAGTACACACGCCCGTGGATGTAATATCTTCGTGTAGCCCTGTGTAGCAGATTGTATGAAATCGACAAGCGTCAAACGAAATGGCACTGTATTAAAGGTCAACCCAGATGGAGAAATGTAGGCACGTCGTGCTAGCAGTGGTATACAATATCACTTTGCCCGAAAAAACTGCGTCGTGTTCGCGACTGGATCTTGACTACAGCGTTTTTTGCGCGGCGGCATTGGAAAGAAAAAAACCTCGGTCACAAAACAGCGCTGCAGTTGTCCTGCCGCAGAGAAAGAAACTTTCCAAATGTGATCTTCTCCGAAGACGATCCGTGAAATGCAAATTGCGCCTTTTCGCCGAAGATGGTTTTTGAAAAAGTGACTCGAAGGTCCTGAGAACATTGATCCCCAGAGCATATCTTTCCCCATTTTTTTGATCCTGTCGATGAATATCTCGATTATACAACGAGAACTCATCCAAATTGCTGACGCTTTACCTACCCTTGCATCTTTCTCACGTTCGTGCGGCATTAGCATTCCTAATTCCACCGGACAAAAAAGATCTTTGTAAAGATCTGATTTCTTTCCCGACCCATTTTTTCTTGAGAATATTTTTCACAACAGGTTCGTTCGACGACAAAAAACGCGAAGTGACATGAAATTTTCAAAGTAGTTTTTTTTTCTAAAAGACAAAGAGTCGATAGATACCTTTAGCCTGGTCAGTAGAAGTACAACTTCGACAGAGGACATCATAGCAACACTTTTTTTTACAAGTAAAAATATGAAGCGCGGCAAGAACTGAGTTATTCCATACGTATAAAGAACCTTTTTCCGGCACACGCAAACCTCCATGTCGGGCTATAATTTCGAGGACGAGGAGCCGCAGTCCTGCCCGCACTGCTACAGCAATGACCTGACCATTGACCCCTTCTCCGGCGACCTGACCTGCCTTGGGTGCGGCGCGGTTGTCCAGGAGAACCGGCTGGTCGCAGAGGTGGGGTTCCAGGAGGGCGCTGGCGGCAAGAAGCAGGTGGTCGGGCAGTCGATCACGTGGGGCACGGGCGCGCAGGCGATCTCCACGGCGACGCGCGGGTCCCGGGAGCTGACGCTGGCGAAGGCGAAGAAAAACGTCGAGGGCTTCGCCTCCAAGCTCCGCATCCACAACGCGCACCAGGAGCAGGCGCTGCGGATTTTCGGGCTGGCGCTGGACAAACAGTTCAATCGCGGGCGGAAGTCCATGCTGGTGTGCGCGGCGTGCCTGTACATTGTGTGCCGGAGCAACCGCAGCCCGCACCTGTTGATCGACTTCTCCGACGCGTGCGAGTTCACGGTGCGGGACATCGGGCAGACGTACATTAAATTGGTTGCGATATTGCAATACGACGAGCTAGTCGCCGTGCCGATCGTCGACCCGTCGTTGTTCATGGAGCGGTTCGCGCACAAGCTGGATTTGGGCGATCGCGTGTCCGACGTGGCAACCACCGCTTGCCGCTTGGTCCAGCAAATGAAGCGCGACTGGCTGCAGGAGGGCCGGAGGCCGACAGGTAAGTACTTTTGCGTGCTGTTTTGCGTGACTCATCCTTATGCAAAGTCATGCAAGAAAAGTCAAGCAGTTCGAGCCTCGCAAAAAACGTTTTGCGTCTTGTTCTTTTCATGGCACTACTACTTCGAAGAAGAAGAGTGGATAATTATTTCTCAACATATTCAAATTATGATTATCTCAGGTCTTTGCGGTGCCGCCCTCCTGGTTGCCTGCCGGTGGCACCAATTCGAACGCGACCCTGAGGACGTGGCGAAAGTGGTGATGATGGCGGAAACGACGCTGCGAAAACGATTGTACGAGATGCGGCAGACTACCATGGCGGGCATGACCCGCACCGAAATCATGAACGCGGACCAGAACGAGCCGAAGATTTCGCTCTGCCTTCCGCCCTGCACCAAGCCCAAGCAGAAGGCCGCCACGGACAGCGGCCTCAAAGCGCTGCCGGTTAGCGACCAGTCACTGACGCTCGCGATCACACAGGGGGAAAGGGGGAAAAAGGACATCAAAACGAAACAACCACTGATGGACAAAGAAACAGCGGGTGTGCTCTTGGACAGCTCATCCATCGGAACCACCACCTCGTCTGATGTTGAGGAAAATAACGGCGACAGTTCCTCGCAACAGCGGCAAAAAGCCCGGCCGAATGAGCAGATCGGGGGCAGCAGCAGTTCGTCAAGTACCGGGTCCAGAGTCAATGTAAACCCGCTAGCAAATAACAGTGCGCACGACGACGAACAAATTGTGGACGAGGAGGACGATTTGTTTGCGGTCGACAATGAAGCCGCAGGTCGTGCAGGAGATGATCCTCTTACAGGCGGGCGAAACGGCGCAAACCATGGTCACCCCGAGGTTGATCAGCAGAGTAGCGACTTCCGGTTTCAGTTTCCGACTGGCGAGGGGCTGGAGAAGATGGCGCCGGAACTGAAGAAGCTCCTTATGTCGGAAGACGAGAAGAAAAAGAGCGATATCGTGCTGAACAACAACCTCTCCTTCCAAAGAGCTGCGGAGGACTTCTACAACTCGGTGGAGAGGGAAGAAAACGAAAAGCTTCTGACTGGTGGCCATGCGGGTAAGAATATGAAAGCGACAACATCTACTTCTCTTGCAAACGGCGGTGTTATGAATAACCCGTCTTCATCTACTTCCGCGACAAACAACTACAATCTGAACTTCCTCGAGTCGGACGACCTTTGGCAGGACGCCAGCCCGGACACCTCGAATTTCGAAAACGCGATCGAGAAAGCGGACACGCGGGTGCTGGCCGAGATCGTGGAGGAGTCGCTGTCGGACGTGAGTTGCGACGAGGACTGCATTTTGGACGAGGAGGAGCAGGCCAAGAAGAAGGCGGTCTGGAACGAGGTGCACAAGAACGAGCTGGAAGACATCCACTACCGCACGCTGAAGCGGCACAACACCCGGAAGCGCAAGGCGCTCGCGGCGGAGTCTCAGCTGAAACAGCTGACCGATGGCGCGGTGGAGGACGGGGGCGAGAATAACAACGCGTGGAACGACAACGAGGGAGAGGAAGACTTCTTCGGGGGCCCAAACAACGGCAACGCCTACAGCGGCATCGAGAACAACCGGAAGAAAAAGCGAAAAAAGCAGGTCGTGCTCGGAAAAAAACAAGAGGGCAAGACGTGGCGCGAAATGTCGCGGGACCACTTCCACACCAGTAAGGCGGCAGAATCGAAATACAACCTGGACGAATGGGACAGCCTGTTTGAGTGAAATTTGCACTGCGCGGTTCCGCTTCGGTCAGGACGACTGGGTTGGTCGTCGTGGCGAAGCATGTTTTTACAAATTTCGCTCAATAACACACATTCATTCTTCAAGCCGTTGAAATAAACGAAAATATTTGATGAAAAGGCGACAAAAGAGCACCGCAACGACGAGGATCCAAGATCTGAGTCTGAAAGTAAAACTGCCTCCTGTTGGCGCGAAGTTCTTGTAGGCTCTGATCCAATCGCTCGCATGAGTACTTTGTCATTTTCGAAGAATGTGTTGATGTTCGCTTGATTGTTCCGACTAGAATTGAGTACGCGAAAAGATCAAAAACGACCTTAGAGCAGTTTCAACTTGGTCTATGCAACAGAGATGATCAAGAAAGTTGCACCTCTTTAGCGTTTCTATGGCACGAGCGCGGAGGCTCAACATCCAGCTCGAAGCATTATTAGCATTGAGATGATCTCGATAGTTTGTCTAAGGACGCCTAGTACTGATACTGAAAGATCGAAGATTTCGCTAATGCTTTAGTTCAAGTAGAGTGGCATCATTTCATGACTCAAAGACACAGACAGGCCCGCTTGGAATATGTTGAGCCGTCTGGAAGTACTACTAGCAGAGAGGTGCTATTCGCAGAAGTAGCCACGAATCCATTCTGGTTTGAATACCTTGTTGCCACCCGTCTTTGTGCTCGTGGTAGGAACCGATACAACTGTGCTTTACCCCTTCTCTTTTTCATCTACTCTTTCTAGAAAACATTTTATTTCCTCATTACCATTTCTATCTTTCCTAACGAACAAGAAAGATGCCGCACCCGCAGTACGGCGAAGACGGGGCGCTGTTACCAGCGTATAACGAATTCGAGGACGAGATGCCCGAGGAGAAGCGCCCCACGCCATGCATTGGGTGCTGCGCCCTGTGGGTGATCATCACTGTATCCATCGTAGTTTTACTTGCGGTAGGTGCGGTCATTGCGTGCGTGGTTTTGGGATCCACTACGCAAGGGACAGTGGTGGTTGAACTGGACGAAGACTGGGTGGCCGCGGCGGCGCAGACCGGCAGTGAAGGAGCACCAGAGCCACGCAAGTCCATTCCGGACCCCGTCGGGGACGAAGAGAGCCCACCGAGCGCTGCGGTGCAAGAACTTCTGAACGCCAAATCGGCGCACTTGACACTGGCGGAGAGGCAGCCGCCGTTGGAGCGTCCTAGATCTCCGGCGGGAGATCCGCTGTACCGCGAGGCGCCGATGCAGTTCGCGTGGTACCGCAACACTGCTGGTCAGGTCGCGGGCCAGGCGTCGGTGCGCGTTGACATTGGAACTGGGCCAGATGCTTTTAAAAACCGGGCGATGATCTTGTGCACGGGCTGTGGCGCGCAGAACTTCTTCATCATGGAGGAGAGCGAGCAGTTCCGTTCCACCACGGAGAAGGAACTGAATCCGCTACCACATGTTGCGAAGAAACTATCAGGTGACAAAAAAGTGACCGTGAATATTTATAACGACGGAACATCGTTTCCCCCGGGGCGTCTACTGGCGGACGAGGCAAAGGTGGTTCTTTACCAACCGGAGAAGTCAATATTTCCCTACTACAGCAGTTTTTGCACCCGTGAAGAGATTCTTGCCCATTACCGACAGCGCCGGTCACTTCCTGACGCGTTGCTGGATCGATTGATCGTTTGCCCAAGGAACGATTCTGAGCCTCCCGCCGCATTCGACAAAAAGGGATTGTGGCCTGTACCCAGCTACTCGCTTTCCTTGGCACCGAGCGCCTCGGACCGGGAGCGGGTGCTGAATTTTGTGCACATCGAGGAGCCGACGGACGACCCGAGCGGCTTCCACGGTATTCTCGGGCTGGGATTTTGGGACGAGCGGAACGGTGGAGCAAACAATTTGCACGCGCGGGACGCGGCGGCGCACGTGCTCCAGCAGCTCCGCCTTGGCGCGATAGAGGAAGGTAGGGAAAATACAGTGTTCAGCTTCGATATTACCGTTCCCGCCGGACATTCGGATGCGTTTTCAGCACGCTACGCAGTCAACGGGAGCGCTGACAGCCTGAGCTGGTCGAAGAAGCCCCATTTTATACTCGGCACCTCGCCGGCTCCCGACCGCCTGCGGCGCTTCCCGGTGATGCCTGAGCCGATCCGGAACGACGAGTTGCTCTCCCAACTGCTCAGCGACCGCGGGCTTTCCGCCCTCGGAGATCCGGGCACCCCGGCGCAGCAAAGTTCGGCGCACCACAAGATGGCGCTGAAGGCGTTCGCGCGATGGTACCTCTACAAAACCGAAAATGAAGAGGTGAACGGCGCTGAGAATGGCTCAGCGTACGAGTATCAGTTCCGTGGGACGCCACTCCGCGAACAGCAACACCTACCCTCGCACGAATACGTCAAGGAAAAACTGGACTTCCGCGGCCCGTCCTGGAGCCTGGCGGCCAGCAAAATTCGCATCGGCAACACGATTTACGATGCCGCGGACGACGTTTTCGCGCCGGAGGCCGGGGTCGAGTTTTCCGCTGAGAAGCACCTGCAGGCGGATGTTTTACCCTCCGTCGAGTGGGAGTATGACACGACCAAGGGCGGCATCAACGGAAAAAGCGAGGAAGCAAAAACGAAGTTGCGCCCGCGGAAGCCGAGCAGAACGACATACACCGATAAAAGGTACTCGCTACATCTGGATTCCGCCCACGGGGGGATTATGTTGGCGGCGCCCCTGCGTGAGGTTTTTGATAAAAAGTTCAAGAAGTTGACGGAAGGGAATGGTAAACGATGCGAGGACGGTCCCGACATTGCATTCGAGTTGACGGAAGAGATTGCTGAAAGCGCGGACGAAGGAGAGGGGGCAAGAACCGAAGTGCCAGCTTCCGGTTCCTCCGCAAATCAAAAATCCTCGTCTCACACGCATTGGTACGTTCTGCATGCGAAGAACTACTGCTACTGCAAAGGCAAGAAGCATGTTCAACTTCGCCACTGCGTCGGGACAATTAATGACCCGTCGGATACCCTCAACCGAAAGGCCATGTATTTAGGCCGGCCCTTTCACCGGGCTTTCTACGTGGGGTACGACTTTGTGAAACGCGAAATTCTGTTACCCAGATTTTAGAGAGTGATATTGTAAGATGGAACTCATACCATAGTAGGAATACATGATGTTTGTTGTACATAATTTGGAAATGTTAGACTCGTGATGATGTGTCCGGGATCCGGATAGCGCTCGCATTAGCCTCATCTCCAACAGAGGTGTTGCGTTTATAGTTTCTTTGCCAGGATAGAGATGTATGAACAGAAACCTAGAACGATTTGACTACAACGGTAACGGATTTTCCCTATTACAAAGTGTTTTCTTGCTGTACGTGGACAATTTTAAACATCCTAGAAATTTGTTTCCTCGAAAAAAAGACATTACATGCATAGGCAGGCTCGTTAACAGTCACTGCCACATCTAGAAGAATCAAGCTACATGAAGTTTTTTTGCTGATGTCACATTCAATTGTACGAAACCTGGAAAAGCTTTGAGCGCCAGCTGGTCCAGGCCGAGCGAGTGCAGTGAAGAATTCGCAAGCGGTTTTCGAATTCTGAAAACGAACACAGAATTTGTACGGAGAGCGTGCAAGTCATCAAACCCTTGTACAGAGAGTATGCGGCGGGACCCGGCTGCAGGATAAAAAGCGATAATTTCGCCACGACAAACAACATTCGCCGACATTCGTCTCTTGTGACCTATTTGTGGTATTTCGTGGCCCCCTAGGTTTCGGGTGGCTCGATGTTTTCCGAGTAGGCAGGTGCCATTCTGATCACGACTTGGATCAAAGACTGCAGCAGTAATTCACCACTACGATCTCACATCATCACACGGAGATCATCTGGACCTGGAAAGCTAGTCGAAACGAGGAGCCGATTAAAGCGATAACTTCTTTTCACGCCGATTGTAAGTGCTCATCAAAGTACTAAAACCTGAAATCGATGAAGCCCTGCTCTGTTGCTCGTCAATTCCATCGGGCAGTAGATCCTGTTGATCGCTGAGTATATCTACTTACGGCCGACTGACTCTATTCAGGGACGACTTTTGGCATGATGTTCAGAATTTAAGTTTTCCGCAGCAACGCTATGTTGCAAGACGTATAGATCATTTTGTTTTTGCCTCTGTGAAGATTTTTGCGCCACATATAGGTTAGGATGAAACCAAGCGTGATTTACTTCGAGAAGTTGTAGCCTATGGGTATGCCCGAGCTAGATCCACCGCACGCCGATCAAATGATCTAGAATGTTCGCCAGTGAGAACGAACATCGGCGGGAGAGGTGGCTATTTTTGCGCCTTTATGCAGCATGAGGGAGCAGCACCAGCAAGAAGATGTAGATGACCCGCAAAGAACCCCAGCGGCAGGCCCTGTCACAAGAACTACCTCCGCGTGTTGTCCACTGTGGCTCGGGCTGTTTCTGACCATCGGGGCGGTCCTCCTGCTCGCGGGTACCGCCGTTACGGTCGCGGTAGTGGTCATAAACGCGCAAGACCGCAGTGCCGCGAAACAGGAAAACATCTCCCCCCACACGGGAGTCATTGGCAGCACTCCCATTTTTGTTTCGAGCCCTAGCGGCGCCGGCGGAGGAGTAGGGGGTAGAAATATCTCTTCCACATCGGGAGGAACACCTCGACCGACAGGAAACCATACTAGAATTTCTACCGGTTTATTGCCGAATCCGGTTCCCGGTCCTGGAAGAAGCGCGGGTGCACTAGGTAATGCGAGTCGACGTCCACCGGCACCGCCACTACAAGCTGGCGGGGCCCCGCCCGGTTCGCAAAGTAACTCAAACTCTCTTCCGCCGACCCCTCGAGCTGCAGCTGCACAGCGGTCATCCTGGCGGCACCCGGAGGTGGAGATCTTAGCAGGCAAAACGCACGTCTGGCCATTGGTGTACGTGAACGGGTTTGGGAATGTGAACGCACAATCCAGTTTTGGCATGAAATCCGCGTTTGGATTGAAAATCGACATCGGGACGTTCCCCGCCGCCGCCCCCCACGCGTTCGAAGGCAAAACTGTCCTCTTGGACACGGGCGGGGCGGTGCAGAATCTCTTCCGACTGCGGGTTGTATCTGCGGGGGGTGGTGGTGACACTGACTCTGCCACCGGAGTCGTGTCTAGCTTCACCTCGTCCACGAAGGAAGCTCTGGATGTGTATGCCATGCACCGGGTGGTCCAGGGATCTTCGCAGGCTTGCCCTTCTGGCACGGCGGCCGTCCGGTGCACCTACGTCGGCGGGAACTTCGAGGGCCGGGCATGGAAGGACGTCTGGAGAGTAAACAGGAGCGGAGGAGGCGGGGAAGGGCAAAATAATAATGATAATAATAATCCGCAGAACCAGAATGATCACGCTGGACAAGCACAAGTAGCAAACCGTGGCGGGGGCACCGGCTTCTTGCAGCAAATAAGCCCACAGACAGCCACAATTTTACCCGACTTGGATCTGCGGACAGGAAGTGCGAGTAGCGTGATCGCGGCAAGCGGAGAGCTGCAAAGGCTTTTTCAACAGCAAAATACCAGTTCCAACTACACGTGGGGAGAGAAACTCGGGAACGTGCCCAAGCTTGCCGTGGTGCACGACGCCGCCGCCCCCGACCCGGTCCTCGGGTGGGACGGCATCTTCGGGCTGGGCTTCCCCTCCGAGCGGCTTGGCCGCCAGCCCTCGTCGCGGAAGAACGCGGCGAGTCTGCTGGACCAGTTCGCCCTGGACGCGTTGAACCGGGGCAACAGCGAGAACCAGGTCTTCAGCTTTCAGGTGGCCAACGAGAATTTCGACGAGAGCAACAGCAATGCAAATGCGACAGCAGGAGCATCAACACCTTCAACCGTCGGAGGTCCGTGGTCGCGCAACCCGGTGTTTGTGCTGAACGGAAAACCGCGGGAGGAAAGACTTCTCCGTTTTCCCGTGGCGGAGCAACTGCAGCGCCGCGACTCGTTTCCCTGGTACGAACCGGGCTTTCTGTTCCGTACACTGTGGGACCCGTCGGATGGTGTGGATTTTTACCGAAGGGCGCGTAGTACTTCTACAGCCGCGAGGTTATCAATACACGAGCAGTTTTACACGGACCTGGAGGCCCCATCGCTCGGCACCTACGACAGGATCAAAGCCACGCGGAAGTTGCTCCGCCGGTTTCTGCGGGAGAAAGACCGCCTTCAAGAAGAGTTCTACCACCGCAGAATCCGCGCCGGGCGCACCCCGCTGCGGCGGGGCGTGGGCGGGAAGCCACTTTTAGCGGATAGCACGCTGAAGAACTTCTTCGACTTTCGCGGGTCCGAGTGGCAACTGTACGTGCGGAAGGTGAGAATTGGGGACGAGGTGTTTGATGCGCGGGAGGACCGTTTGGTCTTTGATGACCAAGCGGATAATAATTCACCGCCCACGACGTCGAGTATCCAGGAACAACAACCGGGAACATCAAGTCGTCGCCATGCTGATGCCCCGGGGGCAGTACCACCAGCGTCCCGCCGCCTCCGCGAGCCGGCGCAAAACCGACTCTACGCTTTTTTCCCGCCACTGGTGGAGTGGAGCTACCGGGGGCTGGACGTTGTAGAACCGTCGGGAAATGGACAAACGAACGTCGGCAACAGTAGTACATCATTTTCTCCTGATGTCAACAGGTTTGTGACCACCTTGACGCCGGAAAAGAGGGAGTTTCGGCCCTCAACGCTGTACCGGAACCAGCGCCCGGAAACTGAGGACGACCAGCATTCACACCGAGATAAGCGGTACAAAGTCATGCTGGATTCCGGCTGGTCGGTCCTCGGTCTGGCCCGCCCACTGTATGAGGTATTCGAGCGCAAGCTCGCGGACTTCAACCAGCGCAACGGACACGCGGCGCGCGACTGCCCGGCCGACGGACCGGAGATAGCCTTTGAGCTGGAGGAAAAGAGGTCCAATATGTTCCATTGGTTCACGCTTACCGGCGCCGACTACTGCTACTGCCACGGCAGCCGGGTCCCGAATCGCCCCCTCTCCAGGCAGCACTGTGTCGACAAACTTCGCCACACGCAGTCGCTCGCACTCATGCTCGGCGTCCCTTTCCACCGGGCCTATTACGTGGGCTACGACTACGGGAATCGGGAGATCTTGCTCCCCAGAAGGGTGTAGAAATGATGAAAAGAACAAAGAAATCGCGACTACCTTAATTGGTGACGATTTTTTCGCCTATGATAACCCTCCACCGCTAATCTTAATCAGCGAAGGCTTCAATTTTTCCAAAGTACGAAGGTTGAAAACGCGAGGAGGGGCATGGCGTATTTGTGAAAAAGGTTATGTATACATAGAATCTTTGAAAAAATAAAAAATCAAAACGTTTAACACCGAGAACAACTTCTACGCTGGCGACTAGAATATAGCGCAGTGTCGCATAAAATTACGGCTACTCACTTACCAAAGGACATGCAGCCAGGACATTAGCGGATCTACTGTGCGAGCCTGTACACTTCGGCTTCTTTTGTACAATTAGACTTAGGCTTTTTTCCCCACAGCAGGACAACACGCAGCGCTTCAGATTTTTGTACAATGAGTCTTTTGTTGCTTTCACTTCTACCAGAAGCACAAAAGTTGCCAAGCCCAAACTTTCTGTAACGACTTTATCTTCGTCTTTCCAGGGAAGACGTGTTTTGATGTAGAATGACGCAGAATGAAAAGAAGTACACATCGCAGGAGCTCGTCATTTTGCGGCCCTGCAGCTTTCTTCAGTGGTTCACAACAAACACCACAGACATTTACTCGGGACAAGTACGACAGGTTTTGTTGGCTTTTGTTTCAGATACAGTCTAGAAGTACTTGAGAAAAAGTAGAGGAACTGCGTTTTCAATCGCATGCTTTCGTCGGAGAGAAGTCGTGGTAGATAAGTACTTTTGAGCGCGTGCATTTGTCGGAAGCGGTGAGCTGATCGGAGTACAAGAGTGGGTGGAGCATCTTCGTCGTCGCGTTGATCCTATAGTTTATCTAGTAGGTGAATGAACTGCGTGAACGTAGTAATTTCTCTCTTCACACCGATAGCGGAAGAACGGAAGTGAAACATAGAAGCAGATCGTCCTTGCGTCACCACTTTGCTCCTCTTGTTTTTACGAGGTGTAGAATTTGGCGGAACACACCACAGTCAAAATGGTGAAGCCGGACCGCACACGTATCCGTGAGCCGGATACGTGTGTACTGAAAACGCTTTTCACGACCTCGCAGCCCTCAGCGTCTTCCTCCAGCCGGTCGTGGCAGTGGGCCACCCCGCAGATCGAGGGTTCCAACCCGTGCGCGCGCGGCGGGCACACGGCGACCCTGGTGAGCTCGATAGCAGGGAGCGGGCCGAAGTTGGTGATTTTCGGGGGGCAATTCAACAACGACGGGGTGTACACAAATTTAAACGACGTCTACGTGCTCGACGTCGACCAGAACTTGTGGACCACACCGGCGGTCAAAGGTAGCTGTTACATTTGTGTTTGCATTCGCCTTTACAGCGTTTGCTGCTCCACAAAGAGTGGAAGTATGTTGTACTACAGCTACATGAGAATCAGAACTACTATACGACTCTTTATTGTTGTGATTTCCACCAGGCACGCCACCTGAAGCCCGGTACGGCCACTCCGCGTCGCTGGTGGGGTCCCGCGTCGTGTATTTTGGTGGCAGGGGAGACAATGCGACGCATTTTCGGGACTTGCACGCCCTGGACGTGGCGGCCATGACGTGGTACCAAGGACCCTCCAGCGGCGGCGCGCCCGCGGCCCGCATGGGACACAGCTCCACCCTGCACGGCACGAATTTGCTCATCTTTGGGGGTGTTTCCGGGCCAAAGTACTTACTTATAAATTTCCATTTAATATTAATTGTTGTGGTACCTGGATATCGCCTGTCCACTCGGAAGATTAATGCACAGCTGGATGGCGTTGCAGATGGAACATTCACTTTGCTGCATTTTTCGGTATAATCGTCGACCTGCAATTATTATCGCGCGAAGAGCAAAAACAAAATCTCCAGGTTCTTTTCCGGCCTTCACGTGTTGGATCTAACCTCCATGGCATGGCGGACCCAGGAAACCACGGGTCCGGCTCCCAGCGCGCGGATGGGTCACACCGCCACTTTGATGGACACCAATTTGGTGATCCACGGGGGGTTCCATCTACCAGCGGCGCAACAGATCGAGAAAACGGTACTGAGTTAGTACTTATGATGTCATCTTTCGCGTTGGCGTTCTTGCAGAATTTTGTTTGTTTATATAGCTCAAATTTGTCGATAATCGATTTATTTCCAACGACCATGGTGCAAAAATCATCCAGGAAGCGATCGGCGACATGGTGAAAGCCTGTTACATGAATGACTTCCGCGTGCTCAATTTGCAAACCTACGAGTGGAGCCGACTCCGCACGCACGGGTCTCCCATGGCCCCACGGTTCGGGCATACGTTGGTGCTGTCGAGTAATGACTTAATTGGTTTTGGCGGCTGGCACGGCGTCAACACGGAGAATTGGGCGACAAGGGGGAAAGACAAGTATCCTGTATGGCTTCGTTAGTTCTAGAAATATGACAGCATGCACAGATGTTGTTTTTCTATTTTTCAGCACGAAAAAAACCGTAGTATGAATTGTAATGTTATCCCAGACCCGAGCAGCCGTCAGGGAACGACGAGCAATCGAATGAAGACTGCATGATACTCCGAACCGGCGACATGTATTTCTTTTGTTGTTCACCTGTCTTTCTTTGCGGTTATTTCGGTATATGCCACGCGTGATCTTCAAAAAGGAAATAATTTTGAAAATGACTCACGATCATATACATTTCCAGGACCTGGAGCCAAGTGACGTACACGGGCGTGGCTCCTTGCTCGCGGTACTTTCATTCTTGCACGACAATCGGGCCGCACCTGATTGTCTTCGGCGGCTACGATGGAGGTAAGCCGCTTGCCGACCTCGTGGTGTTGCGGGAAACGTCGGATAGCAAAAATTAGCTACTACGGTGTTTGTGTGCAGGTGTACATACAACGCACAACGCACTTGTGGATAAGCTCGAGAAAACTCTACGCTCCGAGCTTTGAGGTCGGATTGCGCCGTCTCATGCAGTGGGAATTAATAACAGTTACAGTGGAAACAGAACCTTGTCGAGAATAAAAGAACATCTATCATCGCAGCTCTCGGACACACGTACTTACATTGACGGTGGAAGAGAGTTTTGATGAGCAGATTACTTAACCGTTGAAAATAGTTGGTAGTAATACGCGCCGAAGATGGATTGTATACAGAGTCGATTGTAAAAAAGGCCAAGTGTACATTATCATCTATTGTTGAGAATCTTGGTGGGTGAGTGGCCACTAGATTGGCACCTCCGTTCGTGCGAAAATTTTTCCGCGATTGATCGTGTTCGTGAAGAAACCTCCCTTGCGAAGCCTCTTCAACAGCGTCTTGAGAGCCGAAGTGTCAGTTTACGATTTTTGTGGAGTTGCGACTACACAGGATTCAGTGATGTGGAAGTACAAGGTGGGGACGAAAAATGTTGCGCAAGCACCAGACCAAACACACACAGAGACCTTGACCTTTGAAAAAGTATTTTGGCTGTGGGTAAGTAGCAACTTCTAAAAACCCGTATCGCAGACGAGAAAAAGACAACTGGCACAATCACTTACCAACAAGAAACTCTGTAAAGGCGGATAACAAAGATGGCCGCTTGTTGTCGATGCTCTGTAAAGTAAGTTCTACTTAATTTTCTGAAGAGCTGCAACTTGATAGTTCTGTCAGAACTGACTTGCGGCCCGCGCGCACCGGTCTTCGACAAAATTTTTCCGCCAGCTGCATAGTTCGCTTCGGAGTCGTCCCGATCACGTGTGCTGCTATTTTTCCTGACAGCGCGGTCGCCAGCGCGCCTCTCCTCTTCGTGAGGGCGAATAGACGAGTGGGCCAGTCTGGTTGAGCCAGTCGTTTGTCGCACGCGGTCTGCTGCCGAAGTGGTCACAAGTTTCATTCCAATGTAGCTTTTTCCTGCAGAATACACTCGTGCGAGCTGCATGACGAAACGGAATTGAGGACGGCCGGTAAACGAAGTGCTTTTGCGGGACAACAGGACTGCGTCACGCAGGAAAATTTTTTGCGCGCGCTGCAGCTGGGTACTGCGTTTGGACTGAGAAAAGCGTCGAACGTCGAAATCACTATCTCTGCAAAGAGCTTTTTCCGGACGAATAAGAAAATTCGCCCGTCATGTCGTACGATTTTATGTTCAAGTACATAATCATCGATATCAATGTGAAAGCTATTCCTGTGTCCCCCGCTCCTGAAAACGCACTTGAGTCCAATTTTTGCATGGCGATTTCAGTTTGCTCTTCAGATCTTTTTGACAGAAGCAACTGCGGGCCACTATGACAAGCAACTACGAGTTACTACAACACCGCATGACAAGAAAAAATCCAAGAGCGGTGGATGCAATGGATTTGCAGCTGTGCATAAAAGGCGACACGGGCGTAGGGAAGTCGTGCTTGCTCCTGCAGTTTACCGACAAACGATTCCGCACTGACCACGACCTCACCATCGGAGTGGAATTCGGCGCGCGGCTGATACTATGCGGCGCAAATCATACATCGCATATTCGTGATCGCAGTGGAAATACTTAGATTAGATGTAGACGGTACTATGCGCTGAAAAGGATGATAATTTTCATATAAAATGCTGCATACGCCTGGCCTGGGGCAGATGCAAATCGCAAAGGCTTCTAAGTAGCTAGCAGCCACGTCCTTATGCGACACGCACATGTACGATAGATTTGCACGTGATAGAGGTCAATCGACGGCAAGGCAATAAAGTTGCAGATTTGGGACACCGCAGGGCAGGAGTCGTTCAAGTCAATTACAAGGTGGGTTTATCGCTGGATAAGTTCTTTTAATTGCGTGGCTGGTGTCTCTTGTGATACTGATATGTCAGATAGATATTCATATTCGGTTTGCAGAAAAGAGCTGCGCTGCATGAAAAAAAAATCGAAATATCAGGTCATACTACCGGGGTGCAATAGGCGCGCTATTGGTGTACGATGTGACAAGAAGAGAGACGTTCAACCACCTGGAGCATTGGCTGAGGGAAGCAAAAGAGCACGACCGGGATGATCGCATGGTAGAAAAAGTCATACACTTGCATGCAGTGCCAGAAGTAGGATAAGGATCTGTGATGCGAGGACCTGCATGACAGGGAGTTTTCTCATGCATGTTTGTCGTGCCAAGCACACGCAGGCAACGGCAACAGAAACATCAAAACCATACAGGTAATAATGCTGATCGGCAACAAGTCTGACTTGGGCAACCAGCGCGAGGTCTCTGAAGAAGAGGGCCGCAAATTTGCCAAGGAGCACGGCCTGCATTTTATCGAGACTTCCGCGAAAACCGCATCGAATGTGTATCGTTGGGAATATAGATCGCCCCGAATTAATGATTCTTGCGAATTTGGGAATTGAATGGAAACTAAGTCACTGCGATAGTTGTAAATAAGTGCATCATAAGGATTGGGATACAACTTGGTACACATTAGTTTCGATGCCCACTTGCTATTTGCATGAGAACAAATTTTATGTGGTAGGGCGCCTTTTCCGTTTGATACTCCCGAGCAAGCCTTCATCAACACGGCTAGGGAAATCAACAACAACATTACCAACGGGAAGTACAACCTCACCGACGACGTACAGTGCTTTTGGGTTTTTTGTTGGTGCTTTTCTAGCAGTTCTTGACAGTGCGAGCATCACAAATTCTTTTATCAGAATAAGAAATCTGAACGTGAAAGAACCGGAGTAATTTTCGTGGTATTCTGATAAACAACTACTTCAATGATACAGGCGAGCCACGGGATCAAGATAGGGCTTCCACCACCCAACAACCAGTATGGCGCGGGGGCAAGTTCCTACCAGCGAAATCAGACCGGGACTTGTTGCTGAGCTGCGCAGAACGACCTCGGTCGTACCGCACTCGTTCGAATGGAGCAATTCGAACCTAGCGCGCTTATCATTTTTTCTCACAAGAAGGCGGAAGTTGTTTAGATTTGCTCTTGCACCGTGAATCATAACGTTGAGCAGGAAGACAGTGATCATGAATAAGAATCAGAATGATAGGGGCAGTGACAGACAACGCGGGTTGTCAGTTTCGCTTTCGAGCCAGAGCGCTTGTTTGTTCGACGTCTATTTGTTTTCCGGATCTACACTCTGGCACGAGCGCACATGTTCGTGCAGAATCAATGGAGGTGGTAGTTTTGACACCGCTGTGCACCAAATTTCCGATGAAGATCAGGCTGTAGAAGTAAAATATGTTTGCACTCAGTCGCGTTAGCGAGGAACACGAACAATATTTTCTCATTTTAACGTCCAAGAGAAATCAAATTTCGCCTGTCGCTGTTTTAATATCAGATACCTAGTGCCGCTCCCTCCGTTTTTTGTTCTTGAATTCACCAGCTACCTTCTTTTTTCCTATTTCTATCTTATCCACAACAGCGAAAGCCATGGTATTCTTCTCCCTTCGAAGAAGATCCGCGTCCGCCAGTTCCCGCCGGCCTGCATGGATGATCTTGCTTTTCGCACTGCAGTTGTTTTGCGACGAAGCTTCTGCCGCGTACACCGCAGACACAGAGTGCTGCTTTCCGCCGCTTCGACATCTCCTCCAACGAGAGCAAAAATTTGGAAACGACTTGTCACAAACACTTCCGTCTACGAAAGTTATCGGACGACGGACTAGCTACAACATTGCCTCTCAACAGGACCAACGACAACCCGAGACCCCCCAAGAAGACGTGGGACCTGTAGCTGCGTCACTGAATAGTCGAGCGAGTTCTCTTTCCTGGATGCGGTTCAAGAGCAGGAACAGGGCACCGGTGCTTCAGGTGCTCCCCATGAGCGACGCGACGCCAATTGTCTCCTTCCAGCAAGGTGTTGTTTTTGGGTCGGACGATTGGCGGAGGTGGACGGTATACCAGCTGCAGGCGAAAGTCGAACAGATTCTGAAGCGGACGAAAAAGATCTTTTATCCAAATAACCTCCGGATTAGACTAGTAACCACTGGTGCTTCTATCGGACGAGGTATCCGCCACTTTGACGGGATTGGAAGTTGTTTGAAAAAGTGTAGTATCGCTAAGCAGGGAGAAGAGGAGCCACCGGATCGGTGCAGAGTTCTAGACCGGAGCGACTTCCGAAGGACCTTGGGGCAGCAGCTACTAGGAAATAAAGGCCCGCGCGGAATTCTCATGTATCAGAATCGAGGAAACATCGATGAGACACCAGTTATCCCAGTCACGGCCGTGATAATTTCCGAGGGCCGCGACATGCCTTTCGCGGAACTCCTGCTCGCGCGCGGGCAGCAAGAAGATTTCAGAAGTGGCATACCTACAACTTTTGATGTGATCTCTCCGAGAGAGCTGTCGCAGCACGCCTCGTTGTTCCCGGTGGAATTTCGCCATTCCTTAGCATTTTTAAGACGATTCATCCAAGAGTTGCCGCAGGTGAAAGGGCACACAGCAACGACGGGAGTAAAAGCAGGTTGCTCCACAGTGGCAACGCTGGCGGAGCAGCTGGAGTTCGCTTTCGTCGAGGGGAGGAAGGTACGTAAGCAGGCGTTTCTTACGCGAAAACCGCGTCCGAGGTTTTCCTGCTGCGTGTCAGAGGTTCTGCAGCAGCCGGTGGTCAGGCCGCGGCTGGCGCATTTTCTGGGGCTCGTTGAGAAAGCGCTCGCGCGACCGGTAGCGAAAAGTAAGCAGGCAGTTCAAGTGATTGACGAACAAACTGTAGAGTGGGCGACTTATGTGGGCGGGGGAGATCATGAGATTGGCAATTATGGAAAGAACAAACCCTTCGGAACAAGAAGGAAAAGTGTAAAGGAGCCTGTCTTTCGCGACACTCGAAGAGTGCATTTTGCGGACACTACCCAGAAGCGCGATGCTGTGGAAGTTTCCTGGCGAAAGGTACAGCTGCTGCGCGGGCACGACATTTGGACGTATCAATTGTAAAAATGTCTGGGTCTGGAAGAATGCGCGACTTGTCATGCTGCTTTTCCATGACCCATGAGGTCTGGAATGCAGGGCCTAGCATGATAGATTCTGCGAGACCTTTCCAATGCCTATCCTGCATGAGAAACTACCTCCCGACTTGGTCAAAACTGGACGACTTTTGGTAATCATGCAACACAGATTTTTGCATGCTGCAGATTTTGTGATACCTCTACCGCATGAGAAATGCCCTCTCCGTGTAGCACAAACTGGAGTCCTCTTGCACTTGCTGGTCATGCAATACAATTTTTTTCAGAATCCAGAGACGAAAGCGCTTCGTGAATTGAAAGCACTTCGTTTTTTGGAAGCACTACGTGATGAAGCAAGTAGCTCATGTAGAAATAAGCAGCAGATACTTCAACGCCTGCGCAGCTTACGGGGGGGGTGACTCCTGTGGTCCCCCCCCACTCGTTGCGCCTTTTCCAAAACTGCAGGGCTGTGCTTTCTTTTTTTCCCAGCAGTGGCTGGTGGGGTAGGATTAAGCTTTGGGGTGAGTCAGCGGGTGTGTAGTCGTAGCGTAGAGTAGTACTAGAGTCGCCGCAGCGTCGTAGTGGGCAGTGCTAACGTAGTGTGTGTTGTTTATTATGTATCCCTTGGAAGCGGAAGGTAGGCCTCGTGTATTAGTCTTGCGCCCTTTTTTCTTCAATGATAGAGTCGCAAAATGTACTGGCGGACGACCACACGCCGCGAGGAGGACCATTGCGCGGCCTGCTTGCGAGGGAATACACAGAAGCGTGGGCGGCGAGGCAATGTGGGAGCAAGAGCGCGGCCCGGATTTTATCAAACAGGTACGGCCTATGGCCTCGGGAACGCCGAGCATACCCGCGCACTTCTTCGTGAATCGCCCACCGCTTTTTGTGCGTCAGCTGTGTCGGCATAAGAAAAAAAAGAAAAGAAAAGCAACAAAAAAAAAAAAAATTAAAAAAAAAATGAAAAGACAAGAAAAGCAAAAAGAAAAAAAGGAAAGAAAAAAAAAAGAAAAGAAAACAGCAGATTCGTCATCGTGGAAAAAACTGTATCGGACGTGTGCCGCTGCTACCGGCTCGACACGTAGAAAACGAATCTCGCGCGTTGTGCGGGAGTATCTACCCCTCCCCTGCTTCGGGTTGTAGTTGCCATTGGCGTCATTGATTGCGGTCGACAATATCCTTTCCCGATGATTTCCGTCTTTGGGTTTGTGTATGGTGAATAGGAGCTTGCTCCTGATTGGTGCCGCGGTGTCGGAGGTTTTGCAGCATTCACGCACAAACTGCATTTTTGGAAGCGGAGGGGGGGCGCGGGACCCCCATCAAGTCGTCGCGGCGCGAAGCCGCAAATCCCTGGTTTTCGTTCACCATCAGAAGTGTTCAACCGGCGGGGCGCTCCACTGAAACTGAGACTGAGCGCGCAATTTGCCTAGCAAAAAAAAAAAAAAAATTTAGCATGACAAGTTGCATTCTTCCAGACCCAGAGACTTTTGCATTTGGTAGGACGCGGCACGTCACGATTATTAGCCACTTCGCCGACTTCGTGACGGAAGGGGATTTTTTTTTCCTGAGGCGGCTGAGCCTGGGAAAGCGGCCGGATTTTTTTTTCCTGACCGCCTTTTCCATTTTGAAAAGGGCGGTTAGCAAAAGTGGGCGAATTCATTTTTCCTAACCTCCCTGTTTGAAATGCAAACAGAGGTTAGCCCATTGAAATTTTTCCTGACCGCCCTTTTCAAAATGAAAACCTCGGTTAGGAAAAATGATTTTGGCCTTTTTTCCTAACCAAGGTTTTCAAAATGAAAACCTTGGTTAG